AGGGCCGTGGCTCCTGCTCGCAGGGTCTGAATTACTTGCCAGCCTTTTTTGACAGTTTGTGATCTGAATAAATATCAAATCTGTGGCGGTCCTGCGGTGTGGTTTTGTTTCGTGACGGGGCGGAGGGAGGGCTTGGGAACCCAGCCGAGCTGGAGCCTCAAGCCTTTGCTTCTCCCTTCTTCCATTTTTTCTGTATTAACGTTACACAATTTATTCTTTATCGAAATTATCAAAGGCAGCTCAAGGGTATGCAAAGAATGAATTACCTTAGGAAATGGTGACGCCATCATTCTGGTAAATAGCTGATGCTAAGCATCCAGTGAAGTGAATCCTGGCTCTTAATGAGGAAAAAATCATCTGTTGACGTACTGTGCACCTCTCCCAGTGCTCCCACAGCCGTTGCGTTCAAGGGTGGTCGCATTTGCACGCCTGTGTGGCTCTGGAAAGCTGGGCGCAGGCGGGGTGGGTGCTTGCGGAGTAACAGCAATGTCTGGCTTCGTGTTTGAGCGTCCTGCTGAGAACACGGATGCCACTGGAAGTCCTGAGGTGGCCGTGTCCTCTGACTGTCACGCTCCAGAGATGACAGTTACATTTACGGGTGGACTTGCCCACTTCTGCTCTGCTTTTTCTCCAGCTGAAGAGCAGCGCGTTAGGAAATGGTCAGTGTTTGGAGTACTGATCGCTGTGAGCAGAATCTCTGGAAGGGCAGAATGCAGGTGCAGAAGGCGAGCGCAGAGGTTTATGCCAGCATTGACAGTCTGTGAGCGGGCGCGTACCTTGGGTGTGCTTTCAGTCTGATGTGTGTTTTGTTTTGCTTTCTTTTGCTGAATATGCGCAGCTGAGTTGCAGTTTGCTTTCATCTGCTTCCTGATCGGGAACGTATACGATGCGTTTGAGCACTGGAAAAGACTCTTAAACATCCTGTGCCGGTCTGAGGATGCCATAGGGAGGTATCAAGACCTGTACATCAATCTCATTTCTGTGCTGTATCACCAGCTTAGTGAAATCCCAGCTGATTTTTTTGTGGACATTATCTCCCAGGACAACTTTTTAACCAGCACCTTACAGGTAAGTTTGTGGCTCTCTCTTGAGAAAGGGGAGCGGGAGGAGAAGGCGTGCAGGACATGGGAGCTGATTCGGGGAGGAGCTGCCAAAGGAGCTGAGCTGCTGTTGAGCTGCGCGGGAGGCAGTGAGCCTGCCTGAGCACTTCTTTTCTTTTACTTTTTTTCCCCTGTGTTATTTACAAAGAAATGCCATTTCCTTGTCATCTCCCTGTTTGATCTGCTCAGGCTAGGCCAAGAAGGGTCTAATGCAGGATGAAATGGAGTTAGTCCGCCTGCAGAGAGGCCAGCGCAGCGAGGCGACGAGAGGACAGGCTGAGGAGGATGGCTGCAGCAGGGGATGGGCGCTCTGTCTGTTTTGTTACGTTTGCCTTGCCAATAGTGCTGAAAGTAGCCTGCTACGTTGGCATGGGCTTAGAGTATCTGGTGTGGCGACCCGACTGTACCAGCATACTTTTTCTAAAAATTTTTAAGGCCTTCAACTACGTGAAGCTGAACAGCTAGGAGAGAGGCTGAGCAAGTGCAAGATGATGTCTGTTTGTTGATTTTTTTTTTTCCCAAATGCTATTCATTCTTTTTGTAAAAAACAAACAAAAAAACCACAAAACTTTGGCTTAAAAGACTGATGATGCTGATTTTTGGTCAGCTTGAATGGTATGCTTAGCATGCAGAGAAGCTGTGGTGGAACCTTGTTGAGCTTAGGGCATTGATAGCATTTAAGAAGCTTTTCCATTCCTGTTAGCCTCAAGCAAAGCTGAAGATTTCCCATAATCAAGTTCTTATCCAGAGGGAATTTATGGTTAGTCCAAAATGCAGAAAACGCAGCTTTTGCTGAGACAGGCACGGGTAAAGCTGTAAGTCAGCACTGGTAAAACCAGTTACTCCCACTGACTGTAACTGTGCTAACAGCTCAGCAAACTGGCGAAGCAAAACTTGGTTTAGAAGAAAATTAAAAAAATAAAAGCAAAACCCAGGTACACTGGTGAAGCTCAGCAGTGGGAACTGAATCCCAGCAGAAACAGTAGATATGGAGCAGGTGCTTGATGCAAATTGGTGATGCCTTCTCCTTTCTCCGACAGCGGTCGCATTTCTCTGCTTTTAACTCCGAGTTCTTGTGGTAGGTTTGGGGGGGGGGGTTGTT